GTACATGTAACACAGGAATCAGCTAGAAGCATCATGGCAGTTCTAAAGCAAGGGATCTTCATAGCTTGACACTTTATTGTTAAACAACATGTCAGTTTGTCCCCGAGATGTCCTCATTTCCCTCTCTGCACATACAGTACTCATTACACAAGATAAGTGACCATTTCTGGGGTAATAGCAGGAGCTCAACATTATTTCTGGACTTCGAGGCACTTTTAGAAATTCAGCTGGCCTCTACCTGCTCCCTGAGGTTCTTGAGCAAAGAACTACATTACTAATAATTGACTTTCTTTTCAGAGTGGCTAGTTTTGCCATTTGTGGTCTCACTGACCCACTAATATTCACTGCATGTGAGGGCAAGGTTGGCAGGGGAGAGTCCACAGACATGGGCTCCACCCTCAAGGCAAAGAGCCCTTTCTAACTCCAATTCCATCCCTGGCAGGGAGAAGAAAGGAGCTGTGGGTCTAGTAAACCCTGAAACGTTCTCCTATCTTCTCTAGCCCTTCTTATTCAGCTGAATGAGAGAGTCCAAGGGAAGAGTGAGAAATTCCGAGACCTACTGGCTCTTCCTGATGATGCAAGGAACTAAGCCTGTTGCTACTGTACATAAATACATACTTCCCCGAGTTCGCCCAGGGGGCAGCCCATAATTATGTTCCAGGCAAATATTGGGTAGCCGTATTTAGTTTGCATCTAAGATGATGTTGACTACATAACTGTCTCATAATATTGTGAAGACAGGCATTATGTTGTAAGGTTTTGAGACAGTTCCTCCACCGTCCTATTCTTCATGTGCCCCAGATGAGGAACGGGAGGGAAATAATCAGCCCTTGGAGATTTACGCCACGGGAATCCTGCAGAACCAGTCTGGATGACTTCTGAAGGGGGAAGGCTCAGTGGGAGAGCTATCTAGGGGCATCTAGGGGTGCTGGGGAGAAGGGAGGGGCCTTCCACTCAGAGTTGCCCCCTTGATCTTTCCTCTCTCCTGCAGAGCTGCTCTCCCTCCCCCCTGATGGCAAATGTCTCCTACACCAGGAATGGCTTCGGGTGGACTTTCTGCTCTGGCCCAAAGAGGCCCTGGGGAAGACACCCTTCCCAACACCCCCTGCCCAGGAGCCCTCAGACCAGGGAGATGGACATCAGTGCAACCTTCCCAGAGATCAAGGCCATTGGCCACAGGATCACTCAGGGACTTTTCTGAGGGAGGGGTCTCAGATGAGCTCCAGTTGGAGGCCACACATGAGACTCACACAGGACTCTCAGGACGGGATCCTCCACCCAGGACATGAAGCAGGGGGACCTTCAAACTGTGCAGGAGACACTGCTCTAGGGGTCTCCTCTGCCCAGAGGGAGGGGGCTTCAGACCCGAAGGCAGGAAGGGCTGTGGGGCAGCAGTGGCGATAGGTGGGCAGTCCTGGAAAAGGCCTCTGGGGTCTCAGGTGGAGGGAGGGAGACGTTGGGTGCCAAAATGGGGCAGGACCCTCCAGTTGTGAAGGAGGGAAATGGCACAAATGGCTGGGTGAGTCTAGGGGGAGTCTCGGGTGTCCCCCAATGGCTCCCCACAAGTGCTTGAAGGGGACCATGCCTCCTGGCATCCTGGTCTTCAAAACTGGGCTTGAGGGGAAGGAGAGCAAGGGGGCCTATGAGCAGGAGGGGAGTCCTGCCCCTTCCCCTCCCTGGATCTGCCCACCCTCCTCCCGAACCAGTTTTGACTTTGGACCTGAGGTAGCGGGGATGGTTGATCCAGAGGCAGGGGAGGTGTCAATCTGGGGAGGGGAAGGGAAGAAGGGAGGACCCTCCTGCGGGGAAGGGAGAGGGAAAAGGAGGAGGAAGAGGAAGGAAGGAAGGAAGGAAGGAGGGATTCCAGGATTTTTATGTTTATTCTTTTATAGCACCCCACTGGACCGTAATTGGGGTCTCCAGGCTGGCATGCTCCACCTGGCAGGCATAGACGTCCCCCCGCTGGGGCTGGGTCTCCAGCATCACCTGGAGCTGGTAGGTCCAGTCTCCGTTCTGGAGCTCCTCCCCAAAGGCCACGCCCTCCTCCTCCGGCCGCCCATTCTTCAGCCACCGGACCTCGATCTCCACGGGGTAGAAGCCCCTGGCGGTGCAGAGGAGGATGGTGTTGGGAGAAGCGGGATCCAGCTTGGTGGGGGAGATGGAGACGGTGGCCTTGGCTGGAGGGGAGGAGGGGGAGGAGGAGGGACACGGGGGAGACACAGGAGGGCCCAAAATGGGAGACCAAGTTGGTTAGTTCAAGCCAAGATCCCTTTCTACTCCTAAAAATATTATTTGTTTTTAAGTCATTTCCAAAGCAAATTGCAGCAAGAAATTAAAGGGGATCCTGAAAGATGGAAAAACATACATCCTTCCAGGTTGGGATCAGTTTCCATCATCAAATTGTACAAGCCCAAAAGGAATAAATTCTGGAAACACCCCAAGACGGAAGGAACCTCCTGCCAGATTTGGGGGAGACGGAAAGAGACCCAGAAGACCGGGGTGACACACACAGCATGTTTCAGATAATTTAGGGATCTCCTTCAAAATAAAATATCATTTTTAAAAATTAGGGATAATACCGGAACATTTATTTATTTATTTAAATATTTCCATGGCAATCAAAATGGAATTCCCAGTCAAGATAAAATTATAGTTGAAAGATGGGGAGGAACAGGACGTGTGAGGGGAGAGGGGGGATTGCCTCTTAATTCAACAACTACCTCCAGTGTGAGGCTCCCCATGAGGACCCCCTGATTTTGAGTCAGATTTCGCCTAATCTGTACTTGAACTTTTGGCTTTTTCCTGCCTAAGTGTAAGACTTTGCTTTTCTTCACACTGAAACTCATTTTGTTGGATGGGGTCTCTTGTTCAAGTCTGTCCAGATCTTTTTGGATCCTGTTTTTTCTAGGCAGGGGAAACTTGGGACCCTGGAAAGAGAAGGAAGATGATGGGACTGATGGGAAGGAGAGGAATCTATTTCTTCCCTTTTGCATATTTCATTGTCATCGTTGTAGAATTTCAAATTTTTTAATGGTAATTTAATTTTTAACCTTATTTTTCATACATTTTTATTTAGGGGGGATGTTATATCATAGCCGTCCAGATCCCCGCTTTGAGGGAGGGAGGGAGGGGGCGGTTTAGGAATATCAATAAATAGCAATAAATACCAATGAGTAAATTTCGTAGATCGGAGGGCACAGAATACATAAGGGGCAAATCTTTATCCGGGAGAGTCCTAATAAATCAAATGAAAAGGGGGGGTCCCTGCATTTTCCTCCCCCCATGGAACTGCCCCTCCCGCACTCACCTCTCCGGCCAATCACGGGGCCGCCCTGGAAAACCCCGTAGTTGGCTCGGCAGAAGCGATCCACTCGGGTCTTCTGGAACTGCAGGAGGAGCTGATTCCTGTTCCAAGCCTCCGCATCCCCCTTCCCGAACGCCGTGACGGCCTCGAACTCCCCGCGGGCGCTGTCGAAGCGGAGGATCTCCTGCCGGTCGTAGACCTGCCGCTCCAGGAACCGCACCCGCCGCGTCCCGTTGAGGAAGCGGCACTCGAACCTATGCTGGAACAGGAAATGGGCTGCGGGGAGGAGGAGGAGGAGCGTCAGGGGGGATTCAAGGGCCCATGGTTCCCAGCCTCTCCTAGAGGAGGGACACAAGTCTTGTCAGAGGAGGGGAGGGAAACCTGCCGGGAGAGGCTACCGAAAGGCGCCCCCTGGAGGAGGATTGGGGAACCGTCGGTCCCAGCGGGATCCCCCCTTGGTGGGGGTCTGGAGGGGGGAGGAAAATGAGAGAGGGGAGGAGCTTCCTCCTTCTCCCGAGGGTAGAAAAAGGCAGGCAGAAGTTCAGCTGGTCCAGCACTCGGCTTAACTCAGTAGGGAACGTGGGATCCCGGCCTCTTTGCCCCCCCCAAAGCGACAGGAAATATGGGGGGGAGGGATGAGACCCCCTAGAAATCTCTGGGCCGGAGGGAAAGTAAGATCCAGGCTTCCCTCTCCCTCTTCCTTTGGGGGGGGGGTTGGGGAGAGGACACAATCAGGATACCCACAGCCATGCTCCTGGCCTCTCCCCGCCCTTCAAGCCCCACTTTCCCTGGGTACCCTAAAATTTCCTCCTCCCCACATCTTCAACCCCACTAGCTTCTAAAGGCCTCTTTCCATTCCCCCTCCTGAATAGACCCCCCTGCAGCCCCCCAAGACCGTCTCAGAGGGAGGGGCTCCAGCCCCCTTCACTAAAGGGATAGTTTTGGGGAGCCAATTTAGGGGAGCAATTCAGACCCCCCAATATCCTCCTCTCTCTGTTCACCCCTCCCCTCCAGGTCCCGATTCAGCAATGGGGGAATATGGGGTTGGGGGTTCTGGGTCTCCTCCCCAAATTCAGAGTCTCCCCCGAGAAGGAATCCAAGCTCAACTCTTCTCTCCCCTTAAAAAAATGGAGATTGAGAAGAAAAACTGAGGTTGCCTCAGTTTCCCCCTTTCACTTTCGCTTTCCGTCTCCTTCCTCTTTCAGTGCAAGAAGCTTCGGGGCTCAGGCGCTAATTCGGGGTCGACAAGGTCCCCCTCCCTGCCAGCCACAGGGGGGGCGAGAGAGGCTCCTGCAGGCACCCGTCTCTCTTGCCCTCCACCCCTTTTCCCCCTACTGGGATCCCCGCGGCTCTCCTCCCCCTGGCCAGCCCCCTCCTTACCGGGGGTCTCTTTCCCCCCTTTGCTCCCGGGGATCCGGGCCAGCGCCCCCACAAGCAGCAGCAGCAACAGGGGGAGCCCCGCGGAGCCCATGGATGCCGCCCCAGAAGCGCCCCCAAAGAGAGGGGAGAGAGGCGCGGAGGCTCCCAGCCCCAGAGGTGGAATTGGGAGTCTCGCTTGGGGGGGGGGCAGCGGTTTCCTCGAATTTCGTAATTGGGAGGGCCCAGAAAAGCGGAGGGACCAATGGGAATTCTCCCTTCCGCAGCGTCATCGGTCTCCGGGCAGAGTCTCCCTTGACTTCACCCGATAGAGGAGATAGTTCGGCGCAGAGAGAAGAGCGGAGAANCGGGGGGGGCGCAGCTCAAGGGGGGTCTCAGACCAGCCCTGCATGGGAGCGTGCCCTTCCTTTTGCCCTCCCCCCCTTGGTCCTGCCTAGAAAGGCCTGGGGGGCTGCAGGGGAGGGCAGAAGGGAAGAATCCGGGCTTGTTGCCTGCTGGATCAGGGCCAGTTCCTCGGTTCCGCTTCGGAGGAGCCCAACGCTTCAGGCTGGGGGGGGGAGGGGAGGAAGTGAAACGAGAACGCCTGTTCAGGGGACTTGTAAAAAAGAGTTGCTAGGTGTGGGTAGGTGTGTTTGCGTGTGTGTTTGTGTGTGTTTGTGTTTAGGGCTGGGACTGGCAAGGAGAACTCAGAGAAAATCACACTATTTTGGGGGGGGGAAGCATGAATTGAGCCCCGAAGTTCTGCCCAAGTCAGGCGAGTGATGGACGCCCCTCCCCCCTCAGCATCCCTGGTTCTGGGGCCGACTTTGTGCGACTGGCTGTGTCCAGATACACAACTGGAGGGGCAGATTCGGACTCTGCCGCCTCCTTCAGCGGGGGGGGGGGGGTCTGGCTCTGGTTTGCCGAGGCTGGTGGTGAGTCAAAGGGGAGTTTGACCCCTCCGGCCTCCCCATCCCTGGAAAGGATTCAGGCCCCCTCTGGACCCCCCAAATGTTTTCTAAACACCGAATCGGGAATTGCGGGTCTGTGTATCCGGCCTTTGCATAACTAACCCCAACCCCTAACCCCAACCTCCACGGAAGACTAAAAAAATTGTTTTTTATTGATGTAGTGAAAGATGACTATAATTAACAGAATGTTTGGTTTTGAGATAGTTTTGGGGGCGGGTGGTTTAAGACTTTAATGCTTAATGCTTTAATCCTGAGGATAAGGATTGCTGAAGTCTACAGAATTTCTGTTAAAATTTCGATTTATACAATAAATTATAAATTTATCCTTCGGTCTGTCCATCCATCCATCCTTTCATCCATCTGAAAATGATACTAAAAGAAGAAAATCTTATACAAGGAAGGAAATCTTAACCATAACGCCCATGGACATGGATATTTTTCCTTCTTTTTTGGCAAAATGTTTCCTTCAACTCCCATCCGGAAGAGCGGAGTTAATCTCAGAGTCTTGATCCTTAGGATGGAGTCCCAGGGCTGATTCCTCTCCCCACAAAATTCCCTTCCTGCCCGGATCCTGGCAGTCAAAATGCTGCCTTCACTGGCAAAGAGCGAATGGCAGGAATTAAGAATTCTATCCTGTTCATAATGTAATTATTTTTTGTCAGATTGATTGAGCGTAAATCCTTTTATGAGACTGAGTTTATAATCCAGTTTTTCTTTCCTCAATGCTCTCCTGGCATGTCAGGGAATTTGTTAATGTTTATTTCAGATTAAGGCAGAGATTTGGAAACATTGTGTGCACAACTGTATGTATGTGGAAACAATATTTCTGTTCAAAAAGGGTTTATACAGGGATATACAAAAGTTGGAGAGGGTTGTGGACAAAAACGGCTTCCCACCTATAATTGTGTGTGGGGGGCTCCATCCCTGGAGGTCTTCAAGGAGAAGGTTGTGGTATAAGGACTCCTGTCTCGGGCAGGGGGTTGGGCTAGATTAGAAGATCTCCACGGCCCCCTCCAGCCTCTGCGTCTCTGAGGTCTCCCCCTCCCTTCTCCCCATCCCCCCCCCAAGCCTTCCACCAGCCCAGCCCCTCCTGCCTCTGCCTCCTCAGGGGAGGGGATGTGAAGGAAGCCCCGGACTGTCCATCAAAGGGGAAGCTGCCCCGGACGCTCCTGGCTCCAGGCTGAACCCTGACACGGCTCCGCTCCTGCAGCCCTTCAGGGGGGCAGAATTGAGAGAAGCCAAGGGGGCCACTCTCTGTGGGGCCTGGAACCCCTGGAGGAGTAAGAGGAGAGAAGGAGGAGGAGGACCCCCTGCTGACAGGGAATGACCCCCAGCGGAGCCCCCTCCCTCCCTCCCTCCCGGGAAATGACGCAACTTCACAAGTACGGAAATCTCTCTCCGGTGACCCCGGATGCAGCATAGCGACCCCAGATGGGGGTGTGTGGTAGGACTCCCTACTCAGCACTGGAGGTTTCGTCTCAGGGCCCTTAAATGTGGGTATCGGTTGCCTGAGGGGTTAGGGAGTGTGTGTGTGTGTGTGTGTGTGTGTGTGTGTGTACATGTAAGTGTATCTGCAGTTCCCAACCCCCCATGGTCCAGACTTGTGGGGGGGCTTCCTGTCCGCAAACTGAGCCGGGCGAGTCCAGAAGGAGTCCTCAGGCTCTGGCTCCACTTTGCTCTAGCTCCCTGTGGGAACTAAAAGGGCATCTAGTCCAACCCTCCAGACACCAGAAAAAGGAGACTCTGGTGGAGAATCATGAGGGGGGCGGCAAAAGGAAGTCCGCCCTCCCCTCCGGACTGGCATGAAACATACCCCTAAAATGCAGTCCCTCTCTCTCCCCCCCAGACTGAAGGGATCCTCCCCCCAGTTTCTCCGCTTCTCTCTCTGCGCCGAACAATCTCCTTCATCGGGTAAAGTCAAGGGAGACTCTGCCCGGAGACCGATGACGATGCAGAAGGGAGAAATCCCATTGGTCCTTCCGCTTTTCTGGGCCCTCCCTACGACGAAGTCCGAGGAAACCGCTTCCTCCCCCCAAGCCAGACCCGACGATTCCGCCTCTGGGGCTGGGGGCCTCCGCGACTTTCTCCCCTCTCTTTGGGGGCGGTTGTGGGGCAGCATCCATGGGCTCTGTTGGGGTCCCCCTGATGCTGCTGCTGGTGGGGGCGCTGGCCCTGATCCCCGGAAGCGAAGGGGGGAAGGAGACGCCCGGTAAGGAGGGGGCTCGTATGGGGGAGGAGAGGGGATGGGAGGGGCCGTCAGTGCTCCTGGGGAAGTGGGGGGGGGGAGAAAGGGGCTGGCACCCCAGAAGTGGGAAAAAGGTTCGAGGGCAATAGAGGCGTGAGACTGCAGGAGCCTCGATCTCCGCGTGGTCTCCCTCCCTCGCAGCATTCCTCCCCCCCCGCAGGAGGAAGAGGGAGCCCCACCTTCCCTAATTATGGCCGAGGTGGGCGGGGGTCGCGGGAAAGCAGCCGATGTGGGATAAGAGTCAGCCGGGCCCCTCTCTCTGTCCCCCCCCCGTGGCTGGGTGGGAGGGGGACCTCGCGGACCCCGAATAGCGCCTGAGCCCCCAAGTTTCTTGCACCGAAAGAGGAAGGAGACGGAAAGCGAAAATGAAAGAGGGAAAGTGAGTCATTTTCAGAGCTGAATCCACAAAGGCCAGCAAAGAGTATAAGAAAAAAGAGGCTTTTTGGCAAAAGTGTTTTTGCAACCTCAGTTTTTCTTCTCAATCTCCATTTTTTTTAAGGGGAGGGAAGAGTTGAGCTGGATTCCTTCTTGGGGGAGACTCTGAATTTGGGGGGGAGACCCAGAGCCCCCCACCCCATGTTCCCCCATTGCTGAATCGGGACCTGGAGGGGAGGGGTGAACTGAGGGAGAAGGATATGGTGGGGGGGTCTGAATTGCTCCCCTAAATTGGCTCCCCAAAACTATCCCTTTAGTGAGGGGAACTGAAGCCTCCCCTTTGAGATGGTCTTGGGGGGCTGCAGGGTGACAGAAAGAGGGCTGAATCCCCAAATCACGCAAAGGCAGCCAGTAGGGGTGAAGTTGGTGGGAAAGAAAATTTGGGGGTAAGTAGGGAATTTCAGGGTTCTCTTCTCCCCAAGATCCCCAGACCCCCAAGCCATCTAGGTCAAACTTGAGCATCCCCCCCTCAACAGTGGGGGGAGGGACAGGACTCCCCCATTTCCTGCCTATAACGGGGTCCTTTCAGCAGCCCCAGGAAGGCTCCCCACCCCTTTGCCCCCCCAATTCAGGGGACTCTGAGGGCCCAGATAAACCCCTGGGGGTCCTGAAGGACCCTCAGAGAACCAGTGACCGACTTTCAAAATGACCAAATGACCGCAAGGAATGTCCGTCCTTCCACCCTCCACCATTCGGTCAGAACTGAAGAAGCTTCTGGGAGGAGAAGCGAAACGTCTTCAAGGGAAAACCCAGGAAAGTCCAGCTGCCTTTTGGAGAAGGCCCTTTGGGCCAAGGGAGACCAGGGGGAGGGAGACTCTCCGGAGAGACCCCCCCCCCGGCTCCCCTCGGTCCTTCCGAAGTCTCCGCTGACCCAGCCTGGACTCCTCATGGGGGGCCTTAAGGGAGCTTAAAGGGGCATCTAGTCCACCCTTCCAAGCAGAAAGAGAAAGGGAGACTGTGATTGAGAGTCATGGGAGGGGGCAAAAAAGGAAGTCCACACACATCCTGAACACCCCTCTAAAGCTGCAGCCCCCAAGGCTGAAAATCTTCCCCTCCCTCACGTTCTCCACTTCTATTGGGAGGGATATTGGGGGGGGGTCTGAGTTGTTCCTCCAAACTCCCCCTTTAGTGAAGGGGGCCCCTCCCTTTCAGGTGGTCTGGGGGGCTGCAGGGGGGTCTATTTGGGAAGGGGATAGGAAAGAGGCCTTGAAAAGCATCCAAAGGCAGCTTGTAGGGCTGAAGATTAGGGGGGAGGGGGAAAAGGGAAGGTGGGGCTTGAAGGGCGGGAATAGCCCAGGAGCATGGGTGTGGGTATCCTTATTGTGACCCCCTTCCCTTCTGCTCCCAAAAGGAATAGGGAGAGAGAAGCTTGGATATTATTTTCCCTCCAGCCCAGAAGGGGGGGGTCTCTTCCCTCCCCCTATATTTCCTGCCGGTTTGGGAGGGGGGGCAATGAGGCCCCACCAGGATCCAGCGTTCCCTGCAGACAGACGGAGGCCTAGACCGGCTGAACTTCTGCCTGCCTTTTTCCACCCTCGGGAGAAAGAGGCGGTCCCTCAGGAAACTCCTCCCCTCCCTCATTTTCCTCCCCCCCTCCAGACCCCCACCAAGGGGGAAATCCCGCTGGGACTGACGGTTCCCCATCCCTCCTCCAGGGGGCGCCTTCCGGCAGTCCCTCGCAGCAGGTCTCCCGTCACTTCGCCTTCCCGTCGCTCTGCCCCTCCTCTAGTAGCCGCTGGGAACGATGGACCCTGGAGTCCCTCCTGAGGGCTTTCTTCTTTCTGCTCCACCCCCCCCCCCCCACAGCCCATTTCCTGGTCCAGTGGAAGACCGAGTGCCATTTCTTCAACGGGACGCAGCGGGTGCGATACCTGGACAGGCACTTGTACGACCGGCAGGAGATGGACTACTACGACAGCGACCTCGGGAAATTCGTGGCCGTCACTCCGTTGGCGCAGCCCGATATGGACCAGTGGAACCGAGACAAGCAGCTCCTGCAGTACGAGAAGGCCTTCGTGGATTCCTTCTGCCGACACAACTACGAGGTTCTCCAGGGCGGCCCCGTGGTTGGCCGGAGAGGTGAGTGCGGGAGGGGGAGTTCCATGGGTGGGGAAATGCGGGGACCCCCCACATGTTTACTGGATCCGTGCCCCTCCTGGCTGGTACTGGCTGCCCGGGAGGGTACACGAGCCTAGCTCCAGGGAATTTTAAACGCTTCTTTGTGGGAGGGTGTCTTCCCCGTAGCCTTGAAGGAAGCGGTGGTGAGGCCCCTCCTTAAGAAGCCTTCCCTGGACCCAGATGTATTAGCTAACTATCGTCCGGTCTCCAACCTTCGCTTTGTGGCGAAGGTTGTGGAGAGTGTGGTTGCGCGGCAGCTCCCCCGACACCTGGAGGAAACGGTCTATCT